CAGTCTCAGTTCGCGATTCTAAAAAATGTCTTGGCAGTCAATCAGGTCAGTTCACTACCTCCAGACTGACAGTTTGAACCGCAAAGATGAACTGACAACTGACTGATTGACTGATAGCAACTCTGCATGAGAGAGAGGCCAAGGAGAAGAAAGAGCGCGAAGAACAAGAGCGGCTTAAGCCGACATCAGTCGTCGCTGAGGTGGGCGCTGTTGCCGTAATCATACCTGCTGTGCGGGAAGATTCGAAGGTCGAAGTATATCCTTATGCAGAGCGAAGTGAATCACTGGCGAAGAAGCCCAAAGCCAGGTTAGACCAAAAGGCAAAGTTAAAGGAAGAGGAAGAGGCCACTGAGGCTAGGCTACGGGAAGAAGAAGAGACAGAACGGAGATTCCCACAAGAGAAAGCTGCTGCTGCTGAAGTTGAGACAAACAGGAAGAAGGAAGACAATATCTGGGTCAAATGGGACGCACTTTCGGTCGCTCAAACGAAGAAGAAGGGCAAGAAAACAGAATTGATACACCTTGAAGAGGAAGAGCGTCTTTAAAAGGAGGTTGAAGAAGAGGCCGAGCGAAGGAAGAAGGAAGAGGAAGAAGCGGCGGCTGCAGCGAAACCGATGATGCTAAGTGCCACCTCCGGCTTGAGCCCGGAGAAACTAGTCTCAGACACAGACGACTGGGCTGCATTTGGTACGAGCGCTCCCGGCAAGAAGAAGAAGGGCAAAAAGGGGAAGGTCAGTCATCTGGGCTTTGAAGTCACACATAGCAGCACGCTAACCCATGGCAGACGGTCGAGCCCGTACCCCCGCCCCCTCCAGGCTGTCCAGCGGAATCGCCGACAACATTCGACGACATCAACCAGGAAGAAGCAGGTACAACAAAAATTGACATGGTATTGGGCGATACGGGTGCAACTATATCTGGATTTAGACTTCCTAGACTTAGAAATTGTACGTCTGGTTGGGGCCCGTCAGATAAGGACACGAATGCAGAAGGCGACAACTCTCGGGGTTCTTCAGATAAGACGAAGAAGGACGATGGGTTCGAATTCGATTTCGATACGTTCAAGAACCCGCCAGCTGAGAAAAAACCAACTGAAGACGACGGATGGGGCGGCTTACGTACTACAACGAAGACCAAGAAGAAGAGCAAGAAAGGGGTTTTGATTGACGACAGTGTATTGAAAGTTCCTCCTCCCCCGCCAGAGCCTGATAAGGAAGAAGAAGACGATTCATGGGGAACATTCAGCTTTGGCGGCACCGCAAAGGGCAAGAAGAAAAAGAAGAAGGGCGTACTTGGAGAAGAGCCCCCGCCACTTGAGCCAGAGCCAGAGCCAGAAGAAGAAGATGCCGTCGACGAGCTAGAACCTGCCAAAGAGGAGAATCCATGGGGAGGTGGATGGGGAGCGGCTGATGCTGGCACTAAGAAAAAGAAGAAAGGTAAGAAGGGAAAACTAGAGTCGAGTCCTGAACCGGTACCCGAACCTAAGCCGGAATTCGAACCTCCAAAGATGGAGGTAGATTCTTATTCGGGGCGTATTAAGCCACAGTCGAAGAAGCTCAACGCCAAATTGGACAGAGAGGTGAAGTTGAAGAAAGAAGAGGATACGAAGCGACAGAAAGAAGTAGAAGAGGCTGTTCAGGTCAGGCGACAAGAGAAGGAAGAGGCAGAACAGATACGTCTGGAAGAGGAGGAAGTCAAAGTAGGGAAGGTAGAGGAAGAAGATGCTGCCACCGCCATTGCTGCTCAAACGGGTGTGAGCTCCTTCGACCCAGCGATGGAGACTGGTGCTACATCTAAGAATGATGGCTGTGAATTGCGTCCGGCGCATCTGTCTCGTGATGACGGGTGGCAGAACTGTAGGCCATGCGAACTTTACATGCGAAAAATCGCTTTCAAGCTTTACCAAGAGGGGCCACCAAATGTGAAGGGATTCAGCACTACCAATATGCTAGGGTAATACGGAAAAACTTATCTTGGAATACAATAGGCGTGTCTCACGATACAATATTGGTTAGACCCGACTGATGATATATACTGTCCTACACCCTGGTCAGCAGTTCACTGATCATACGTACTATGTTGGTTGCGTAGCGTAGTGGTGCAGAGCTGCGTTCCGACAGATGCCAGCAGTTCTAGCTAGCTAGCTGGCAGCTGCTCTGGCTGACTAGCTAAAGTCACGTGAAGAACATCAAAACTTCGCCCGCTCCCTTCACACCGACATACTTCCACGGCCAGAGCAGCTATCGAGGTACCAAGTAGACTTTTGAAATCACAGGATCATTCTGTGCAAGATGGAGTCTTTTGTTTTCCCTACCATCTCTCGTCGCTAACCCCACGTGCCTTGGATTCTGTTCCTTGGTTTCACTTCTTGTTTTCTTATCACCCCTTCTCGCTCCCACCAAACAGACTAGAATTCACTAAAAAAAAAACAGTGCAGTCACTTAGAGGTAGGTCGATACCGCTCTACAGCCGGGTAGGGTCGAGTGAAAAAGGTGTTCGGTGTGCATGGTGCGCACGGATACTGGGGCCAAAGCTCGACCAAGCGCCAAGCCGAATAGGCATCCTAGCTTCGAGTTATTTGTCCCATATGAAGCACGCTCGTCTATGGCAACGACGGAAAGTACCCCACTGCAAGCGGTCGTATCCCGCAGAGACGTCCTCGCACACGCATCTTGTCTCCCTAGTGTCACTCAATCGCCGCTGGCGCCGAAGCGATACCGTAGCGGTTCGACCGCGGACCGAATCTCAAGCCAGATACCTCCGGTCCCTCGCAAGGGATACCGATCAACTCGAACCACATTCTCCATGCTTGCATCAAGCGCTACGAGCACGAACAAAGCAAGAATAACATGCCAACCGAACCAGAAAAACATGATCTGCTTGGGTTTACCGACGTTGAGGCAGAACACCCCAAGCGGTACATCCGGAGGCTGTGGCTCGTCGCAGAGAACGACCGCAAACCATTCCCCGTGTTCTTGGACCCGCAAGTTCAGGAGCTTGCAACGCAGGTAAACAGGGTGGTCAACACGTTCGTGAAGGACGAGGACATGCGTCATAAAGAGCTGTGTGGCGGCGCGTTTCTTGAAAAGGACGCTGCACATATACTCGATGACCTGGGCTTCGGGCCGCGCATCTGGGGCGACGGTTCTAAGGCTGAGATACGACTCGGGAGCAATCTGCCAGGGTCGCGCCCTCGGTGGGGTGTCCGCGTAGACTCCGGATACCAGCGCAACGACGAAGACAGGTAAAGCTGTTGGCCCAGCCGTCTGCGAACAGGATACTAATGTGGGTAGTATTCGAGATAACCTGCGGTACTGGATGGCTGCTCGGATACAAGCTAGGATCAATGCGCCTTGCAAAGAGAAGAAGAGCGTTCCTTCAGTGACAGCAGAACGCATGGAACAGCTACCGCCGGCGCCTACATCAGTGCCTGCAGCACCATCACTTCCGCAATGGTCTGAGCTCACGCAGTGCGGAGGCCCTCCAGATACGTCTGGTCTCGCGCCGTCTCGCCCGAAACGTCGAGGGAATAGTTCTGAAGCGAGGGTAAAGGCAAAACCCAAAGCAGCCAGCAGCCGGTCCAGAAGTAGAGCACGCTCAGACGACTCAAGCGATTCGGTTGGCATCTTTTCCTTCACGAGCTACATACAGACAGGTCCAGAGGCAGACCTACCCCAGTTAAGGAGTGACGGATGCAAACGCCCACGGATAGACACCTCGCAGCGTCGATCACGCTCTCGATCTCGTCAACACAGCCCTGAAGCCACGTCCACCGCGGGTGACAATCCGCCGACCGACACCTTCACCAACGTCACAATACCAGATACGATTGACGACGACGATGACGACAACAACAACAACAATGGCGGCGGTGAGCACAGACTATTCACGTCCGATCGAATGAAGCAGAAGATGCAACTTGAACTCACTCGTTTTCTGGCTAATGATTTAGGTTTCATTGGCATACTGCGGGAGGTCGTACAACCTGTAAGGAAGTACTTCACGATTCGTCTCAATCACAAACCGTACAACGACTGGAATGTTGATTCAATAGAATTTTCCCGAGCATTTGACCATTGGGAAAGTCTTATCGAAAGGTACACAGCTTCTTCCTGTCTCACGCAGTCGCCTTTGGAGGATTTCTTTCAACTGATAGCTGACAAAGGGACTTCTGAAAACCGTGCAGCCATGCTCCATACTTTGGGGTCGAGATCACACATTGACTTTGCTTTTGAAATGTGGAATACTGCCCTTGCCATGTTTTTCCAAGGTCTGTCGCCTCTTCCATTACAGGATCTGGTGAATCGTTTGAAAGTTGTTAATCGGCCTCTGTATGATACAGTACTCTGTAGTGAGTAGTCTGACGAGTTAGAAACTCATGTGCACCGTAGTCAGCATTTGATATCTCGTGGTGTCCAAAACTCACCTGTCACATGCAGTGTAATACTAAATTGAGATTACATCTGGAATTGACGTCTATAGCTCGCTGTACCAACAACCATAAACAAACGTCGCATTACAACGAGGCTCATGCAACGCAAGTATTGTACGGTGCTTAGCAATTGCGCTTTCCTCTCGAACGCAGTCGCAACGAAGTTTGCGCCACAAGATGGGCAGCGATTGTGTTGCCCCACACGACCGATCAAGCCTAGCGTCTTCTTGTCACCACACCTGCAGTAAGCAGCAAATACAACGCTTTAGCACAACACCTGGCGAACCACAAGGCTGTCTAACTAGGATGTAAGCAATAGAGGCAGAACGGGCGGACGCTTCCTCTCCCAGCTTTAATATTGCGACATTGCAAAATATACAAGCGCACTACAAACGGTGGGACCGAAGGCCTGCTTCCAGCTATCTAACCGTGTTCCAATGCAATCTCATAGTGTGGCTAGCGTTCGGCGAATACCTTAAATCGGATCTCGTACGAAAAACCGAATGCGATTGCTCTCCAATCCTTGGTGCTACATCTTATCAAGGTTGACCCAAAGTGAAGTTGTGAGCTGGCCTCGCCATTGCTGCCCCTTCTTCCCGAATGCAAGACCTAGTTGGTCACTAATGACCATTGTATTAGGCTGTCCCTGTCCGGGATCGTGACATCTAGGCACAGGCACTCCTGATCGGCTGGCTGGCACATTCTCCAGGAAACTTCGCATGAACCTACGGCTGAAATACCGCTGGCTCGAGCGCAATCTGTCCTTCTGCTCGAAGAATACGCCGGACCACGTCCTTGTAGAAAGCACGATACGACCCTCTATTTTTTCGCCAAGGTCCACAAGTAGGATCGAATAATGAGCGCACACGCCAACCCAAGCCGCTGTCTTGCTTGACTTCGTCGTGCAGTCTGAAGAGCCTCAGATCATCGAGCTGCGGTTGGGCTCCGATACTATGAAGAGCAGAGTCCCTGGAACTGTGCCTAGTTCCACGAGAAACGAGATGGATTTCGGAAAATCTAAGGATGCGTAGAGTACTCTTGAGGATGGCCAGGAAATCTAACAAGGTGTCTTCGTATGTCACTATGGAAAGGTGAAGCTTTCTGATGCTTGCCCACGGCTTGCGTATTGTTAAGCGGTCGAGCAGCGCGGAGGGCCTGTTACACGGGGTTTGGCTATACTTCTCTAAGCTCGGTCCGTACTAAGGCGAGGTAGACTAAAGCGGTAGTCCGTGAGGTATCGTATGGAATGATCAGGTGGAAAAGAGTTATCGTTGTAACCAAAGGATAAACAATACCAATTCTATAAGCGATAGAATAACTAGTTGACAATCTGTGTGAGAGATGAACTATTTGAGTTGACCACAACGAATGTAGTAATGAAATTCGTGTATCCTTTATACATATTGTAATCTATACCTGCCGTCTGATGCATGCCATCTTGGCGGGAGGTTTGGGATGGTTCTGCCATCCCTCAGTACACTGCTATCCCGGATGATCAGCCTTGACGGGATGGTACATCTCGTGACCTTTAGCCTCGCGATGGACACTCACTTTTGACGTGGACGTGGTTGGTCTTCAACCTCGTCGCTCCCCGTTAAGGAAAGGATCCTTTGTGTTACCTGTGGCATAACATCATCGACCTTCAAAAGCAGAGAAGAGCCTATATTAAACTGTCGCGCTAGCCACTGATGCACGAGACTATCCATATTGCATACAATCACAAGTGTGAGACGTAGAAGCGAACGGTGCTTCAGCACATTCTTAATGTTTGCAAGGTAGATGCAGAGTGCCGTTAGATGGCTAGTGTTGTGCAAGCTATTGAGATACCGAAAGACCCGGTAGTAGACCCAAAAGCTCAGGCAAAGGTCTCAAGGCGCAAGTCGTATCACACGACTCAAACAGCGCATGGTTCGTCAGTGAATCTGCCAGATATGTGGACGACTGTGCGATAGCAATTATCTTACTAATGTTTTTACAAGCGTCGGTTGATAGGCCGAACCTGTATAATTCATTTTTCGAGGGGCCATCACCATGTTACCCCTCTTCCCCTTTGCTCTATCTAAGCAACGTGGTTTCGCTTACAAACTAATATATTGGAGAAGATTGGCTGGAGTCAAGCTCCGCGGACGGTCTCCACAATCTACGGTTCATCATAGGAAGTTACTCTTTTGGGCGCAATGTTACAGGGGAGAGAATGTCTCCCACTAGAGATCCGTGCTGATCCAAAGCCGTAGTGAACAAAAAAGAAACGATTTATCCACGCGTAAGAAGTGGCAAGCCCAACTGTTTTGATAACAACTAAAGTGAATGATGTAGCACTGGTATTGTTGTCTTGATAAAGAAGGATGACTCGAGCAGCAGGCAGTAGCGAAGGCCGGTATAGAGACTGTGAGACATCGCTCAGACCCGCTTGCTTGACCTGATTGCATCACGACAGCAACCCTGAGCCTTTGTACACATGGAAATAGTACAAGTTCGTCGCATAGGGTTCCAGAGCGTCCCATCCAAAGTTCTTGGATTGACCGCTTTTATGTGTGGCTCTGAAGCTTAGTTGCAGCCCTGAGTTTGGGCGATAGGGTTAGCACAGACCAGCACAGACCGATACGAATCAGGCGAGCCAATGATAGCTCGAGAAACGGTACCAGGAGCTCATCGCAGTTGGCAATGTATAGGTTGAGAAGACCATAAAATCGCTAGAGGCAAGACCTGAAGCGAGCGAGATGGACACACTTGCAGCGGCAAAGGGAAAACCCCCCAGAAGTCAGCTGACAGTAGGGGCAGGATCCTATAAGAATCGGCACCACAAAAAAGCAGAAGGGAAGCGCCGTAAATGTGCACGGTGGTAGCGCGGAACATGGGAAGCCCTCCAAATTTTCTTATCGAACACAACATTTGCGAGGAAATGCGTAAAGCAAATGTTGGTTGCGAAAGTCCAGATGATGACGCCATCTCGGCGAAAGTAACAAATTTGAAGGAGTACGCGAAATATAGTGAAAACAATTGGACACGATCTTGCATGAGCGAAGAGCACTTTCCAAGTGGCAAGTCTTCTCCGTTCTCTAGCAACCGCCGGTCGCTTTTGCTACGTATGACCCATTCATCAACAGGGAAACCGCGGTACACTAGTCGTGGTTTGCTACCACGCTGGTCATTGAGTCTCAACGCCTCGGCATAAACCTCTCCGTCAAGAACATATTTCACTTGCTCTTCCATGTTTTGACACTTAGTAAGTGTACTAAAACTTACACACTGCAGAAGTCGAACGGCATTCGACTTCGTAAGTGCAAGTACACTCCCCGCGCGAAGGCCACTTTTAGTTGCGTATAAATATCCAATCAGCAGTATTGCGTCGATGTCAACAGATAGTGAGGTAGGCTCCGGGGTCTCAAGCCCATCTTCTTCGTCATCAACGTTCTCTCGAGTAAAGGTCTCGAGGTTATCGTTCGTTGATTCGGGAATATTCTCCATGCTCTCCCATAAATGTGGGGGGCTGCTGATCGGAGCGGTATGTATGCGATCTTCTCCAAGTCGCTCCTCGGAATCCTGTTCGTTATGAGGTGCTATCCGTCCGATCCGCTCTCTTGCAACCAATCGTCTGTCCCACGGCGTACCATCCTCAGTCGCCTTGTCAGACGCGGTCAACATAAAAGATTGGGCATAGACCACATCTTTTTCTAGAGCAGTCTTTTGACCAGCTGATCTTTCGTACTGTGATCGAGACTCTATATCAAGTCAGTGTCCTGTACAAACCGTTTAGAGCCATCAAGAGTGCCGCCACGCCAGCATCACTCAAATGGATAGAAGTGAACTTACGAGCTAGAAATGTGTCTGGCTGTCCCTCAATAACAGGGGAAAATACTCTGATCTTCTGTAGTTGGCGATATTCTGCCCCATCATGCTCTTTCTCCTTATGCCATGAGAGAAGGGACGCATCTGTCCAACATCTTTTGCATAAATCGCACTCGTAACGGTTGAAGTTCTGTGACGTATCAGTTTCTTGTGACAGATAACAAGTATTGAGCGAATCGCAACCACAAGAGCGTTTTTAGGAGTGTCGGTAACTTACGAGCTGGGTGGAAATTACGCTGTCCTCAGAGGCCGGCATTTTCGTATTCGTGTCGGCGCTCGCTTCTAAACAAGTAATAGAAAAGGACGTGGCATGGCGACGAGGACTGCATTGTTCAGGCGGAAAGTGCATGAATCGAGACCTGATCCACGATGACAGGGACCTGGGGCGGCCGCAGCATCCTGTATCTTCTCCGTGTTCTGTTTCGTGTCTTCGGAAAGGCATGCCAAAATTCATTTCAATCCTTATCACAAGTCGAAAGGTCCATACAAATACAAGGGGAGTCAGCATTCGAAAAACTATTTGAAGTCGTTCTCGGCGTGTACTTCCTTGGCTGCTTCTTACATTTGTATTCTAAGGTCAATCCCTACATAACGCAAATCTTGTTGTGCCGCAACCAACCAGTTAGCTCGCGAGAACCGTGAAGAAGTCCGTCGTTCTCATAAGCTGATTGGTGAGCTGCGGCATACAAGGATGTGCGCCACACAGCGATGGACGTTAGGATGCTTATCTAAGTTGCTTTTTCAGCACTTTACTTTTTATCTTTGTAATTACTTTCTTACTTGCTGCTCCAGTTGCCTCTTAGAATGAAAATCGCACTTGACGTTTCTGTTTCAGAAGTCGCTTGTCTTCTGTTCATAGGTGGGATGATGCAGCCACATATATGTTGCATGACGATGTGCCCCTCCGTCAGATGACACACCCCTACACGCAACCATCTTTGCGTACTAGTAACACACCGCTACAATACTTTAAGATTTCGCCGTCTACAGGAACTGACACTGGCTACAATTCACCTTTTCTAAGAGATTTTGACTGTGATTGACATCACCTAGATGCCATGGTGTCTTCAGCAGCATCAAACCGTGCAGCAGAGCATCCCTTCGCCATGATCACTGTCACAACTACCATTACCATTGCAATCCACAAGCAGGTACGAAGACACGCAATCCTTTGTCACCAGAGCGGGAAAAGAAAAGCTGTGTATTACTAAAGCGATTACGAAAATGCTTACATTTCTATTACGTCACCCGTCCACCCTAGGCTTATCAAAGCTAGTCCCATTGGCCGACTGATCGTCGTCTCCCGCCACTGTCGCCAGAACGAAGTCGCGGGTAGCAGGGGTCATGTTACCACCCGGTATAAGCCTACAGCTCAGTAATGGTACGTGCGAATGCGATTCCATATCGCCTTAGCTTCTAGGTTGAAGCATCACACCAGCTCTAGGCTTGTAGTCAGGCCTAGCATATGGTTGAAGTCTTTCACAGCAATATAGAGATGGACCTCGTTGGTCTGATAATCTTCAAGATCCTGAATGGCCGCTGCCATTCAGTCAAGAGGTGCAGCGCCAGCGGATGTCAGATGGACGATGATTGTACGCACTTTTGTGCGATACATGGCGACGATCTTCTTGTATACGCCTGTCGCACGGTGAAGTGCGGGTACTGTAGACAGAGTGTATGTGTTGGAAATGTTGGTAGCCTCGTAGCTGAGCTTATATAAGGTTCGTCGCACGGCGTTATTAGTAGCAAGGTCATCGACAGTGCTTGGTCTGCGACATATCTTTCGCAGTCGAGGATCGTAGGAGCATACGCCCCAAACAGATTCAGCAAATGAGGTCTTCGGGTACCATCCAGCCGTGTTTTCGAAACGAGCTAACTTCATTCGATACAAGCGTCTCTGTCTTGTCGAAGCTGCGCCAACCACTCCTCGCAGCTGGCTTGCTTGCTTATCAGCTCCCTGAATATCCGCTCAAGCAATGACCTCGAGATGCTCGCCGGTGTTGAGTAGCGATGTCGCTCCTTATATCGTTCAAACAAGGTAGTGAGCTGTATGCACTTTCGATGCTTGAGTCTGTTGCTGATCAGGCTACCCAGGCGCGAGCGCATTCTCATTGGAGTGAAACAACAAAGGTGTTCCTGGAAAATATATCCGTACACGCAGGTACGGAACGTTTGCTATACTGATAAGAGTTAGAAGATCCGCTCGGCGGTTGCATCTTATGTAGATGACACATTGTTTTCGCGCTAGCTTGCTATTCCATCATGGCTTCCTTCCCGTCTACTACAGGTTCAGTTAAGCGAGCCTGCGATAGGTACGTCTCGTCAGCCTACTTCCAGATATCTCTGTGCTCATTTTGACGAATCACAGCTGTCATCGAAGGAAGGTCAAGTGCATCGCCGAAGGCACTGCTCCTTGTAAGAGCTGCATCTCCGCTGGACTTGCCTGTACCTACCATGCCATACCTCAGAAGAAAGGGCTTAAAGGCAGCCGCGCTAAAGTTCTATCGGAGCTTCGCGAAACTCAGCGTAATGCTGAGCTTGCTATCAGATCTTCGAGCGACCTTGGCTTCGATACACAGCAGCTCTCTACCACTTTGGCTCGCAACAAAAACCTATTGGCACCTGCTTTCGTCGGAAGTTGCGTAGGCTACTTCTTCACTCACCTCTACCCTTTCGAGCCTGTCTTGCGCCCTCAAAGACTGCAGGAAGCGGTGGTTGCCATGGACCAGTCTGCTAGGGCGCATTGCATGATTGCAGCACTATGCGCCTACGTCATGATTCGGGCGAACTGCAAACCGCAGGTCACTGTGCTACCGCGTCAGGAAATGGCTCACATGTCGAGCATTGAGATCGGTCGTGTTCTGCTAGATAAGTCGGTCCGCATTCGAAAAGGCTACGACGATCGCGAGAATCCAACACATACAAGTATGCTTACCGTTTGGTTATACAGTGGCTGTTTCCGGGAACTGGGTCGCGAGAACACAGCATGGACATATCTTCGTGAAGCCACAACGCAAGCGCAGTTGTTGTCTATGCACGATGAGGAAACCTACAAGCATGAGGTTCTAGATGCAGCACAGAAGCGGGTGCTATACTAGCTTCTTTCCATATCCGAAAGGTATCGTGCAATACTTCAAACAGGAGGTTCATCTCAGGCTCTCACTAATCGCTGACAGAACTTATGCATTGCACAAAAACCGACCAATTTCCCTGCATTCAACTATACGTTCGCCATTGCTCGATGAGGTTTCCTCTGATCGACCTATTGCTGTGGGACTTCAAGTCATGATCAACATGTTTTCCATCGTCGATGATACCTTTGTCAATCTGTGGAACCGAGTGGGTGACAATCGTGCAAGCAACGTGTGGATCACACAGATGCAGGCCCAGCTTTCAGAAGCTGTCCCGGAGTTCATCGAGTGCACCAAAGTGCAGGAAGTACAGATTCGCATGACTCAGCAATGGCTGCGGTCACTGGTATGGCGACTAAGCACTCGTCAGGGTCCAATTGGCAATGCTTCCTGCGACGATCCGCTGATACTCGAGTATCCGATGGAGATAGCTAGAGACCTCCTCCTGATATCGGATCAGTTTCCTCGGCAGATGATGGTGGTACATGGCACAGGACTGGTGAGTACAATTAGCTTTCCCTTATTATCATCAAGTTTCAGTCTTGAGATTGATGACAACTTCATCTCTTTCCCTCTTTCTGTGCAATAACCTGTGTTTTAATTTGCTAGCATCAATTTCTCATCATCAGCAGACAGCATTGATCATCTATGTTCCAATGCTTAATCAGCCAAGCTCCCCTTTGAGGCTCTGCACATGCTACCATTCAATATTGTACTATACCCGCTATATATGGTGTTAGCTGACAGTGCTGCAGGTCGAGAAACTATTCGATGTCGCTTGTTGCCTGATTGATGTACTGGCCTGCACATCTCTGTCGGCAGCCACATCTTCGGTCGGCTGTTACGATCATTTGCTTCGGTTTTCGACTTTGATCAAGACTCTTCCGGAAGGGCAGTCCCGATATCTCCCCGTTCTCCTGGACAAGCTGTCCAGACTCGTACCGGGTCTTTCACTGGCGTTGTCATCATACACTTCCGAGGTGGTTCCGACAGTGGTGCCTTGGCCTCAAGCTACTGGGACACCTGCAAATGATACCAGTAACTACTTGGTCTGTCCTGCCGAAACTCCACCCTTAGACCCACCCAGCGACCCGTTCCATCGACGTGTAAGCCAAGAATATGGGCAGGCTTCTTCCAGCACAACTTTACGTTCTGTTCCCCATTTAGGTACAACCCCAGTCAACGGCCCATTGCTTCATCACGCTCTACACAACAAGACATATCCGCATACTTATGGTCGTAATGCCGAAGACGAGTCTGCGACAAACAGCTTCCCCGATAATCTGGTTTCACCTCCACTTTTACACCCGCAACCAGCAAGATATTCGAGCCACCTACTGCAAAATGTACACAGCCATACGCGGATCCAACAGATGGACCAGGATACTATGGTACAGGATCATAGTCACCCACGCTCACAGGTAAATTTAGTATAGTCAGAGTAGTGTGAGAAAAACTGAACAAACTGAACAAATAGACTTATCGAGATGCCGACTATTCGACTTTCAGGCAAAATCAGGCTACAACATCAACATATGCATGTGAGTACCGGGGAGGACCGAAAATGAGAGGGATGCCATGTGAATCTAGTATAACGATGATAGCGATAATCGAAGATGTCAAGAGCAATGAGAGAAAAAGCCATACAGTTTGAAGATGTTTTACATCAAAGTAACGTAACTTCAGTTCTTTGCGCTGTTCAGGTCAGGCGTACCATCACTAGAGCCCTATGGCCTGAATTCCGCTATGCTTTCCTCTCCTCTAACCCATTTTCTACTTCGGCGGGGGTTCAGGTACCATCCTTGTCCGTGTTGCACTCCACTTACGAACCCCTTCGCTTCCTTTAGGGTTCCCACTTCGACAAGATTGTGAAAGATTCTGGGGTTGTCCCTCTCGCCACAAGTCCGGTAGGCAGAGTTCTCTGATACGAGGCAAGGGGCCACGAGGGAAGTTTTGCTGTCCCATATAACGGAAGGTTTGCTGATGCGTGTACCTCCGGAAGTACTCTTCATCGTTGGACCATGGGTAAGGTGACATAATTGTAGATTTAGGTGGGCGGTATATGAAAAAGTATCTGTAGTCTGCTATTTTTTCAACAGGCTGCTGTGTATAGTGAGGTTGAGATTGCTTTGAGTACCAGTTTATGGGGACTGAAGAGTGGAGATCTTTGTAGAAGGCTTCATATGCCGGGATGTCAGATGGGAGGGTCAGACATGAAAAACAACATGTTATAGACGCCTGGAGAGCTGGCTTGATCGTTGATGCGCATGAGGATCTGTGCCTAGTTTTCAATGCATGAGCCGTGTGTTGAAGAAGCCGAGCTTTCGCAAGCCGATGCGTATTCCTGCACATTGGTGGTGGGATAAGGGTCCATGATCATGTTACTTTTGCGTAACACCGACAGGCGACTGAGATCCAGGCGCAAGAGGTAGTGCTTCTGACGCAGTATGTTTGGCCTGCGACTGGTTAATCGATGAGGGGTGCATTATAGGTCCGGAGACGTATGGCAGTTTCAAGTGCAAAGGGTCAGGCGTGCATATGTTTGAACAAACAAGCATCTTACAAGTTAATCTCAGACGTTATCACAACGCCACGTTGTTTGGTTTCGGCTATCGCAGCTAGGGATAGGAGACACAGTCGGCGACAGATTAGATCACATTCCTCGAGGTGTTGGGGGGGCTAAAATCTGACATATTACAGACTAGCAATGCCATAATCTGCAATGCTGAGGCGAAATATTGGGATGAGCGTTCACAGGGTCCGTTGAGGTGGACGTTTGCAGGAAGCCAACCATAGTTGTTGGGGATCGTCGCACGGGCCAGTGGCGAGTATCTTAGAAGCTGGGGTTCCAGAAAAGTACGTACGTATATTGTTTTCTCGAGCTTCCTAGCTCAATCCAAATCTGGGTACCGCATGGCACGAGTATTGATACACCTTGGACGCTCAGAAGCTGGAACCTCCATTCCGCTTCTTCTAGGTTCGAAACGGGCTTCTAGCTCATGAGAACCAAGTACTGTGGGAAGTTTTGAATGCTAAGATAAGAGACAAGAAAAAGCAAGCTATACTGACCGTTCAGTAGCGTGGAGATTAGCACAGTTGTGCTGTACCCTGAATGATCCAGGAGCCAAGGGATAAGCGAACGAGGGGAACAGAGAACAACAACAGGAGGAAAAGAAGCTCCGAAAAGCAGAAGCAAGGGAGCCGAAAACAACTGCAGTTTCGTACATGGAGCGGACAGCAGAAGAAGCAAAGGCGGTACGACAGTTGGCCAAGGCGGCGGATGTAGCAGCCGCACGGAAGGCTCAAAAACAAAAGGAAAACGATAAACACAGGACATCGCAGGCCAAGCACTGCCGAGCATCCTGTTCCTCTTAACGCCCTGTTATGACCTTTGTATGAGCAGAGCTAGGCTGCCACCAACAATATTATACACTCCCTTCCAACCCTTCCGTCTAGTCTGCCCGCACTCAACCGTGCAACATAGGAAGTACAGCCCTGCAAATGATGTGGTTCAATCTCAGATGCTAGAGAACAAGGGATACAACTCCGAAGATCTCCATAGCTTCCTACAGCAAGCAAGCGTGTTCGAGGTGGTGTCCTTTGTGTATGCTGCACCGCCAGCTTCAAAGGCAACGCTAAGACGACAGATGCGTGCGCCTCGAAGATGATCTGAATAGTGCAAAGTCGCCACAAGCTTTCGCATACCGCGGCCAGGGTTTACCAGGACCCTACAAAACCACGACAGTACACGACAGTACAGCGCGACTAAGAACACTAATGGAGGATTGCAATAGGCCAATCTGTTCAAGAGCTTGTACTGCATCTTTCCCACATGTGCGCAAGTCGTGTCCTGCTATGCTGCAGCGAGCTCGACGCGCGCTCTCCTTTGTCCTTTCCCCACCATAATTGTGATATGACTGTGCCAACTCCAACCCGCCATAACTCCACCACTATGGAGCCAATGCAACAAGCGAGCGAATTTTTTTAGAATCGCGTGAAGCTGTCGATCAATTCTCGTATCGCAACGTCGCAAAAATGCTTGGTGTTGATTGAGCGACGTTGTCACGACGTGTCGCACAGCTCGGTGCAGAAGAGAGTATGTATGTTGTTGTTTGCAGCAATCTACAGTGCCCGTGCACCAGATGAACCACGTCGCCAGTTGAACCACCCCAACAACCCAATATAGTCAACAATATTGAATTGTACAGCCTCAACCAGCCGTAATAAAATCGCGCAAATCTAGATTTAT